TGTTCCACTAGTACGAGGTTACAGTTTAACAAAAAAAAAATGTAAAGTACATCATCAGGTGACAAAACCTTGTCGAAACGTTGTACATTTGCTGTCATGTTAAGCTTATATTAAAGTTTTTCTTCATTACCCATTTAAGCCGTCTCCAGCCATAATTAGAAATAAGTTCTTAAACTTATTTTTCTTAAAACGTAGAACAGAATATAAAGAAGTAAAGCAAACAATTATCTTTTCTAGTTACAACCTTTGTACTCGGTTGCTGCTTGACATAGGTTGCTAAGCCTTTAAAAATTTGCACGTGGAGGATATGAATCAATATAATTTTTTTTAGGTTTTATATATATACAGATGAGTAACCAAAAAATCATAAATTACTATATCAATATCATAGAATTCCACTATAATTTATCAAGCTTAGTAACTAAGCTATACTTCAGTCTAAAAAAATATGAAATTTTGAGCAGACTAAAGAAATCTTGGTTCGAAAGAGAGAAATGGTATCCAAGCATGTTAAAACGGCTGAGAAAGCCAATAGGGATAATTCTGAGCTTTTGATTGGTTATTCATGTCATATATAGAAGTAAGTGTGTATATAAGGGAGTGTTTCAAAAATGGAAAGAGGTGGGCAGGGTGCCATTTTGTTTGATTTATTATATAAGCAATATCTTGGCAAACTTAAAAGATAAAAGGCTCTTATTTTATATTCTAGCTTATCAATATTGGTAATTTCAGTTCCCAATTTGTAAAAAACTATCGACTTAGTATTTTGACATCACAAACATCTAATATGAACCAGTGCTGCAACCAACATACCACGTGACACACAAAAATCAATGTTTAACTGTGTTTAATATTTACTTTTCAATTAAAAAATTGATTAGGATATAATACTAAAACTTGAATTATATTCTACAGTTTGATACCAAACTTATTGACATAAATTCATGAAATAGTGGGTGAATAAAATATTGAATCCAAGTCAATAAACACGACGACATGGTCTTTCACCCGTGACCCATCTGGAAAGGGTTAAACAAAACTAGGGCAAGATAAGCCACCAAAATTGTAATTTAAATCAAGAAAGTTGCTTTAGCTTAAAAATGACTATCAGACATAATAAGCTCTAAATATTTCTCCAATTCTTGCAAATAAAATTCACACTAGATTTTAACCTCAGTAGAAAACACTAATTAGTTGCCCATCCTTTCAAAGTTTAAACTGCCATTAATTCTATTAGTACAGTTTCTAACTTGTCTTCACTGCTCCAAACCAAAATGTTGTTTTATTACTTTTTGTCACTTGCAAGTTATTTAAGAAATAAAAACATAAGCTAAATTTACATTAACTCATCATAGTAGACAATTAAACCATGTAAACAGTTTTGTAAGTTTTTTGAATTACAAGATAATATATATACATATATTCACTGAAAGATGTTATTAGACTGTTAAAATCTTTCCCTACTTATCAAAAACAAGTTACTATTGTGTAAAAGTTACTTTCAACTTCTATAAAATCTTTATATTTTTTTTACACACTAAAATATTTTAGTTCCAAGTTCACATATCCTGGTCATCGAGAGTTACTGTGTGAATAACAAATACGAACATGATAACTGTTTACTTTTGATCAATACATTACAATTTACCAGTTAGCTACATTTTATTTGAAGTCAGATGTCTGTTAGTTCACTCAGTGACGATAAGGTATTTGATGATGAGCTTATGGCTCTTTTGAATCAATAAGCAGCATAGATTGTAAGCAGAATGCATATTATATTCATATGCCAAATACAGATCTTCATCAGTTTTCTCAGGTAAATAATGTACCTTAGATGCAATACAGTAAGAATCTTTGATAAAATTTTAAAAAGTGTTCCATTTTTAAAATATCAATCTTATGTAGGGTTCTGTAAGACACAAAAGTTAAAACTTACAAAAACTAAGTCCAAAAATCTACTTCATGTTACATAATGGGATATAGTGGAGCAAGATAAATTATTACAAGAATTTGAAATTATAGTTTATGAAATAAAGAATTTTGAACCAGAACCCTGGTTTGTGAAATTTAACTTAGAACAAAAGACCACTGCAGGAATATATAAATTAAAGTGTGTAGTTGTATAAACAAGACATATGACATTTGAAAACCTGAAAAAAGCTCTTGGCTTTAGTCCAAGAAAAAGTCTATAATTAGGTCACATGGTGAAGAAAGTTGGAGCTAGAAGCATTGTGAGCAAGCAAAGGACCTCTGTATCTATATTAATTATTTCTGGAAAAAAAAAAAAAACCAGTTACAGAAAGTATTTACTTATTAACAAATCTAATAATGTTCATTCATCCATATAGTGATAGGAGAAGGTATTTATGTTACAGTTTCATTACTGTGATTTGTATGGCACAACATAATGTAGAGAAATACAAACAAGTAAAACTACAAACACTGTACACATTAACAAACATATTATATTGAGATTATATTAATTTTACCATTCTGAGCACTCCAAACAAATTAATCCACTTCACACATCTTGTTGTTAAGCAACCACTCTTTTCAATTCACTGGTGTCTTGTTCTATGTAACATAAAGCAATTAAATTTTCCTTAGTGCTAACACTATCTTTTTTTTTTCTGCTATTTAGACCTTTGATTTTTCTATGATATTTTTATTTTCTTAAAAAGCATTCTTTAGTTCAGCCATCTCTTCTTTAAATTCATCATCGTATAAATTCCTGCTTTTGATTTTGCTATGCTTTAGTCTGAAGGCAGTAAGACAAGAAATAATTCAAAATTACGAAAAGTCGGACAATTTCCAGTTAAGACAGCTATTTCTCCAATACCAGTGATTAATCTGTGGAATGCATTGCCATCTAGAGTGATAGAGGTTACAATTTTACAGAAGCTTACGAATAATTATGAGTATTTGTGGGAGGAATCAGGTCTGGATTTAGTAATTAGTTTTCTGTCTGTCGAAGGAAACTGGGAGGGATCAAAATATCACATTCTTCCATTCCCAAGGAATTTCATCTTTTTAGTTGGCTTTTCCGACTGGGAATGCACGATCCATCCGTATTCCTTTAGTTATGACCAATGAAAGTGAACATATTGCATGGATTAATTAAAAAAACAATTCAAAGGAAATGTAATCTTTCTGATAGCTTTTCCTTGAATGAATGTAATTTAATTTCATCATTTCTATCCTTGTTTAGTGTCCCGTAATTTAAGATATCTTAGTGATCCTTTTCCTCCAATATAGTTCTGTGAGTGAATACAGATACTATTAAGTTCTTAAAGATTAACCTCTACATAAATCTTTTATGCTTTAGCTGTCTGTATGAAAACAACACAGCATTGGATTGAACACAGCATGTCGCTTTGTTTTATTAACTCCTTAAACATGAGATAAATGCTGCCAGAGTATGGAAAATCCCAGTTTACCCATCAGGCAGTGGGAGCATCTAATACATTTATGTCTCTGGCTAAAAACTAATCCAAACAATGTTGTTATCCCAAAATTAAGAAAACTAAAATTTCATAAGGTATAGTGATAATTATTAGGAAATCACAAAAACAATTCTGTCAGAACTCTAAAAAAATTATATTGTTTAAAGATTTATTAGTCTCAAACCTCTTATACTACTTAAGTGGTTCTATCCTGGCATGCACTGACTGCTTAAACATACAAATCAAATCCACTATCTCATTAGGAGGTAGGTACAAGTGTGTAGTAAGAGAAACAAAAGCAAATAACATGTCCCCATACAGCTATCTCAGTAAGAAGTCCATCCACAAAATAAAAATGCCTGGTCTATTAAAGAATGATGATCAATATGTATTTTTCTTGTGCAAAAGTTTTGAAATCATTTTATCAAGCTTGTTGAAGACAAATCAGTCTTATAATTTACTATTACTCAGAAATTTTCTAAGTTTTATAAGTCAAGTGCAAGAAGATCATAGTTCATCAATATTCAAATTTTTGGACTGCTGGATATTTAGTATTTGAAAGATCATTCCCAGCTGCCAGATATCTAGCAACTTAGCACTAGTATTACCCTAAGTTACTAGATGGATTTTTGACTATTATAAATATTACTATTGTAAGAGAAACACTACATGGGTCTTTGCAGTTTTTGAGGTACAACAAATTTAACCCAATGTTTCTCAATTTTTAGCCGCAGCACAGTGGCTCATAGAATGGCTCCGAGTTTTGTTTTGTTTTTCTCAAGTACAAACTTTTAACTCATAGCTTCATCATTTCTTGACCAATTTGAGATCTAATTACAGTTTTGGATTGATGCATTTGATCATGCCCAAGGTCTCATACATTAATTTACTCTAATCATACCTAAAAGAATTTTAATTTGAGAGTAGACTGGTAAAGATCCTTATGAATAATCAAATAAAATCAGGTATATTCAAGCCTAAAGCTTGGTACTGCTGGCACACAAAAATATAACTAATAAAAAGGGAAAAAAGGTCTCATAGATTAATTTACTCTAATCCTGCCTAAAAGAATTTCAAGTGCCATGGAAAGTGGGGATTCCCTTTTGTTTTTGATGACAACCTGAATTTTTCTTATCTCTAGGGATCAGGATAGGATCTATTCACCATGCTGCTGCTTTCTTTTTATAATTACGTATTTTTTTCACAAGCTACCTAAAGGTAACTTACAGATCATGGGTTGAAAGCTACTGCTCTAAATACATTTGCAGCACTAATTTGCCTTGCTTCCTCTAACTGACCAAATGGGAAAAGATAAGTTAGTTTTAATATGCAGTAAATGGGATTATCCAGGTTTATTCTTTTTTCTTGCTTTGCTGTTGAAGAAATGAAATTTAAAATTTTAGTATGTAGAGTACAAAATATTTACAGGTTTAAATAAAACATGTTGATTACAAGTTGTGACTGGTATATTAGCAGTCCTACAGAAAAAGACTTAAATCAACAAAATGATTGTGCTTCTATTTCTAAGTTCTATATCACATTCATTATCACCATCAGTATCACAATATCACTGTTAGTGTTAATAACAGTTATCAGGAAAGTGAGTTAACAATTAAGAAATAATACTCAAATTCACATAAAGAACAAGGATATAGTCTATCGGCCACCTAAATAACAAATAAGAGTACTCAGTAAAGTTTTCTCACTTCAGTAGTACATGATAACACTATAGTACTTAGTACTAATAGTTCGTATTGCATTGGCTCAGTACTCACCACTAGCCTCGATTTTAGCAGGTACCTTTGCTTCACATCGGGCTTGGAATGGACTTGAGAAAGGGCTGTTTTTAGCCGCTTCAACAAGTGATTTAAACATTGCTGTTTTAGTTCCTGTTGAAAGAAATGGTATGTTAGTAAAATAAGCTCGAGTTATAGAAACTTGTATGGTATTGACGAAATATAAAAAGAATAAACTCAACGCTTACGTTCCCGTGACCTCCAAGATGGCGAGAGGGTAACCGGAGAGAAATACCACGTGATTAATGACGTAACAAATATGTCTTAAATCTATACAAAAAAGTTTTATTAATAAAATTTATTAACAATTGTTTACCAACACTATTATTTCAAGATTTTTTTCAAGTTAGATCTGACGTCAAAGTATAATTTATTTCAAGATCGAGAGTTTTAATCTGACGATATATATATATATATATATATCATATATAGAGCAAGTTATGAGAAGTAAAATATTATCGTTCCAATATTTTTTGTCATCAGGCATGATGACAAAACCTTGTCGAAACGGTGTACATTTGCTGTTATGTTAAACTTATATTAAAGTTTTTCTTCATTACCCATTCAAGTCGTCTCCAACCATTATTAGTCTCAAAGTGGGTTCTTCGTCATCGAATTTGAATACAAAATGTTGCTTAAGCGAATCTTTTATAAAACGATGAACTAAATCACTTGGTATATATATATATATAATAAATAAATTATAAGAAAATTAAATATACGAAAAACTGAAAAAATCTGTATCATCATTGTAAGTTACTTTAACAGTTAATATCAGCATTATTTTCTTCGTATAGCCAGCCTTTTGAATATCAGTGAGCGCAGTAGCCATACCTATGTAGGGATGGGTCCGGTTAAAAATGGCGACCTGTACATTGCATGTGGTACCACGTACGGCAGGATGTCGCCAAAACTCAGCCAAAGTGATAGAGACGAAAAGCCCTTCACTATTCAAGTACAAAACTGCTTCTATAGTTCGATTAACCTTCCTTGACGTCCAGAAAACGGACTGTAAAAACAACGATTTTCTTCTTCTCCATCAGCTGTAACTTGTAAACCACAGTGTGCCTACGACCAGCCTGCACATCAAACACTTCTTTATTCCCTAGGATGTGCCTTTTCATACCTATAGCAGCAAGTGATCCACTATAGGTTATTTACAGCTCAAAGTACTAATCACGGTCTCTGATCAGTAAACCATTATGTGTTTTGTATGGAAGTTAGATACTCTACGGTGTGTTCCTTAATACGCCGCACATTATCCTGGTCATGACTTATCTTGCTTCAAGAAGTAACGTCTATAGATTATATTATGGTTCCCTATAGAACATAAATGAATAAGTTGGTGAAATGATGCCTTCCACTTAGAAGTTACAGCCCACTGAAATCCAAGACTTAGTTCGACTCGTAAAAAGTACAGAAGCTAGTAACAAACATTTTTATTCTAAAATTATTGAGATATAGGGATGGAAAAAAGTCAGGAATGAGCAATGAAGATTTTCCTCCCATCCTAAATGCTCTATAGTTTCTGAACTTTTCCGTTCCTACATCCCAACAATATTAAAATAAAAGTTTTTCTTACTAGTATATATACAAATTTTACCAAATATTTATTCCGGCAGGATGTCTACTGTTTATACCATTTGTATATGATATGAAAAGAATAAGTACTTAAAATATAGTCATTATGAAATGACTTAGAGTTTTAAAATCATCACAATAGTTATGTACGCTGTTTTGAAATATGTTTTACCCTCACAGTAACCATTACGTTCATCGGTAATTTCATGAGTTGCATCATTGTTGCCAGTACTTTATACTTGTATGTTATTATACAGTCAAACAGTTTAAAATGCTAAATGATAAATATGAAGCCTAATTTATCATTCCATTTCCCACTTAGTACCTATTTCAGTGAATTCCTGTCTTTATTAATAATTCTGGACATAAATAGCACGAATACAAGATACACCCTAAACATTCTCGTGTTAGGTATATTTAACCAGAACCTAATATAAGACAACTACAGGACCAAAAGATCAAGTCAGAAAATCCAAGGCTCATAGATAGTTATACCTATTCTATAACTACTGACCAGAAGAATGGCAATCAGTCAGTAGCACCTGCTATATATATATATATATATATATATAATCTCTGCCATATAGTAGGATTAACATTGACTGATATAACACCCACATGGATGTTATCTCTAAGTTATGTTAGAGCTGAATGTATATGTTGCGTCAGCGAGGTCATGTGACTAGTGTCACGCCACTTCTCTCGAACCTTCCGGAATAGTCGGGAGATTACTAGATATAGGGTAGACCGGTATATATATAAGAGGGTGACAACGTGACGGGACAATGTGTGTGTAGACAGTGAGTAATTGATTTGCAGTCAGAGAGTATTATTGAAGTTG